TAGTAGATAGTAGTAGTAGTAGTAGTATAGTAGTAGTAGTAGTAGTTAGTAGTAGTAGTAGTAGTGGTGGTAGTAGTAGTAGTAGTAGTTACTAGCAGCAGCTACAGCAGCAAGCAAGTCGTCGCCAGTCGTCGTCGTCGTCGCCGCCGCCGCCGCCGCCTCGTAGTAGTAGGTAGGAGTAAGTAGGTATTAGTAGTTAGTAGTAGTAGCAAGTAGTAGTAGTAGTAGTAGTAGTAGTAGTAGTAGTAGTAGTAGTAGTAGTAGTATTGGTAGTAGTAGTGGTAGTAGTAGTGGTAGTAGTGGTAGTAGTAGTAGTAGTAGTAGTAGTAGTAGTAGTAGTAGTGGTGGTGGTGGTGGTGGTGGTGGTGGTGGTGGTGGTGGTGGTGGTTTTGGTGGTGGTGGTGGTGGTGGTGGTAGTAGTAGTAGTAGTAGTAGCAGTAGTTGCAGGAGTAACAGTAGTAGTGGTAGTAGTAGCAGTCGTAGCCGTGTTCGTAGGCGTAGTAGTAGTAGTCGTCGTTGTCGTTGCCCCGAGGAGGACGGGGATACGTAGGAGACTGTGGAAGAACAGGGGGTGGCGGGAGACGGAATATGAGCGTCTGGGTTGAATGGAGGAGGAGAAGAAAAGCGTGGGAGGAGGGAGAAGGGTGGAGGGACGGGTGTAAGGGGGCAGGCGGGAGGAGCGAGAGCGGAATCGACGCGTCCATGCGGTGAGAAAACATGTGCTGCCGATCGTGGCTGGCATCGTGCTGCATCTGTGAGCCTCGGTGGCAGGACCTCGACGCGCGCCGCTTCAGTTGCTGCAAGACCAAGCGGGCATGCCGCAGCTGCTTTTGATTGTCAGGAGTCCAATCGGTCCATCGGCGGCCCAGCCCTCCTCCTTTGCTGTCGCGCTGGCGCCTCCGAGGTCATGGAGAGCGCCAACCAGCCGGTGTCCCAGGAGCTGCCCCGTCTGTCTCCCCCCCCTTGGATCCTGCTCCTACTGCAGATGCTCCTCCTCCTCGTCGTCGTCCTCCTCCTCCTCCTCCTCCTCCTCCTCCTCCTCCTCCTCCCCTCCGACCCTCGACCCTTCGACGACCCTCCGACCCCTCGGGCCGACACCTCGATCCTTGGTGCTCCTGCTGCCCCCTCGTGCTCGAGCTCCCGCTGCCGCTGCCGTCTGTGCTCCTCGCGCCGCGGCCCCCGTCGGCTCTCCTCATGCTCTCGCTCTCGTTCCTGCCCGTGCCGCTCCTGGCCTCGAGGAGTAGGAGGAGGAGGAGGAGGAGGGGGAGGAGGAGGAGGAGGAGGAGGAGGAGGAGGAGGAGGAGGAGGTCGCCGACCCGCGAGGGTGATGCACGGAGCGACGCTGGCCAACACTGGCAGTGACCAAGATCGACACGACGTTTCCGCGTTCAGTTTTGGTCATGGTCTCCCCCGTCTTCTGAGCCACGGCACGGCCTTACTGCGGATAGAGAATGCGGCTCAACCTGCAAATGTGCACTGCTTCCATGGCGTCGCAGCGCAGAGGGCGAGAGAAGGGCCCACGGTCCATCTGGAAGTTTACCAGACCTCGAGCTGCACACGAGTCGTGGAGCTGGCTCGAGATCTTGGCAGGCTCGTGGGAGTCGCAATGCGGGTGAGGTCGAGGGGTAAATCCAAGTTCCCCGGTGAACCCATCTTGATCTTGAGTCGACGAACCAACAATACACACCCATACCCATAGGAGGATCGGAGAGGGATATGGGTGCGTGTTGTCGGATGGGGGTCCCCGCTCGAACGGGAGCGTTCCCCAGGGTCCGACAACCCGCACCCACACCCACAGCCAGTCCTCCTACCGACGACCCCCCCTATGGGTATGGGTGTGTGTTGTTCGTTCGTCATCGAGTCGACTGCTGGCGGCTTGGGCTCAAGAGCTGGATCGGTCCTCGCACTCGTCGACGCCGCGGCCCTCCGGGCTCTGGCGAGTCCGCCCGCCGCCCGCGGAGGGCCCCCTCGAGACCGCCGGACGGGTCGATGATCCTCCAGACGTGTGTCAGCCAGGAGGAGGAGGAGGAGGAGGAGGAGGAGGAGGAGGAGGAGGAGGAGGAGGAGGAGGAGGAGGAGGAGGAGGAGGAGGAGGAGGAGGAGGAGGAGGAGGAGGAGGAGGAGGAGGAGGAGGAGGAGGAGGAGGAGGAGGAGGAGGTGTGTCTGCCTGGGCCAGCTCCACCGACAGCGCGCAGCCTGCGCCGGCTCTTTCTGCACCGCTTGCCTCATGTTGACGGGCTCGGCACAGTTCGCAGCCTGCGCCGGCTCTTTCTGCACCGCTCGCCTCGGTGGACAAGTTCACGTTGGTGCCAACACATGCTCTGAGCTGACCATCGCCGAACGACGGCCGTCCGAGGGACCCCTCCGAAGGCTGCCGCCGTGGCGGACTGGAGAAGCCGTATCAGTGACGCGCGCGTCGTCTTGCAGCCATCGCGTGTTACTCCTGGGCGCTTCGTGCCAAAACGATACACTTCCTGACGCGGCACGCTGAGGCTCGGGGGCGGCCAAGAGCGGGGCGATGACTAGGGATGTGCGTGTGTGTGTGTGGACATATCACGGCCAGTGCCATGATATCTCCCCGAATTTCAGGGCTCTCTTCTTCGTTCCACGCGTCCCACGCCCCCCCCCTTGTCCGCGCACGTGCTTCCGGCCATGACTTGCAATCCCCCTCCCGGACGCCCCGCTCCTGGACGTCCCGCTCCTGGACGCCCCCCTCTTGGACGCTCCCCCCTCTTGGACGCCCCCCTCTTGCACGCCCCCCTCCTGGAGGCCTGCCCTCCTGGATGCCCCCCTCCTCTCGGGCGCTCTCCCTCGCGGACGCCCCCGACTGGCGGGCGCCCGACGGGCGCTTCTTTTTGCTCCCCGGGACGGAGGGCGCTGCGCGGGCGCGGCGCGCGCGCGCGCCGCCGCCCGAGGAGCTGCGCGACCTGGCAAAATCCGGGGGCGGCGGCGGCGGCGGGCACCGAGGCCGCGGCCTCCGCCCTCGGCCGTGGGCCGTGGGCCGTCCGCCGTCGCGCCGCCGCCGCCGTTGTCGCCGCCGCCGTTGTGGTCGTCGTCGTCGTCGTCGCCGTCGCCGCCCCCGTCGTCGTCGTCGTCGTCGCCGTCGTCGCGGTCGCCGCCGCCGCCGCCGGCGGCGTCGTTGTCGTCGTCGTGGTGGTGGTGGTGGTGGTGGTGGTCGTCGTCGTCGTCGTCGTCGCCCCCGCTGTCGTCTTCGTCTTGGTGGTGGTGGTGGTGGTCGTCGTCGTCGGCGTCGCCGCCGTGCTCGTTGTCGCCTTCGTCTCCTATCAGAGATGGGGCACATGTGTTGTGTTCTCACACCAAGAGAGGGTGGATGAGGAGGAGGCGGAGGAGGAGGACGACGAGGGTGCGGAGGAGGAGGAGGAGGAGAAATATGGAAACGACCTCATTTGTCTTGGGCGCCGTGCACTGTGGATTCAGTCGGTTGGCCAGGCGACATGGCCCAGCAATAGGTATCGTGCGGGCGGTGTTCCACCTCTGGCCGTGCTTCCGCGACGTGGATGCATGTCAACATGAGCTCCATCAGCGGAGGATGCAACGGACCACGTCTTCTTTGACGCCAGCAAGGGATCAACACACACAGATGTTGTCCAGGTATCACCCGTGCGTGGGAACATATCGATTTATTGGGCGTGCGCTTTGTTAGCACATTTACCATGACCGATTCGGTGCTCCAGTTCGCAAACGGTTGCCGTTGAACATGTAATGTTTTGAGGGTTCGTAAATATAACTAAGTGGCCTGCGGCCAATCTCGCCACTGTGCTGGGGTAGTGGCTCGATATCCTCATGCATTCTTCGTGGGATCTCTTAGGAGGACTTTCGAGCGCCCTGAAAGGCAGTTTGATGGCAATTTGGGCCTCTCTTGGGAGTTTTTTGGGAGCCTCTTGGGGCTTCCTTGGGGCCTCTTCGGGCCTCTTGGGGGGCCTCTTGGGGGTGCCTTTTGGAGCCTTCTGGAGGTCTTCTGGGGGAGTGAACTCGAAAGTGTGTTGGTGCTCCTTTCCTCTCTGAAGCCCTTACGGGGCGTTCTTGGCGCTCTTTTGGGGCGTCTTGGAGGCCTTTCGGGCCGTCTGGGGAACCTCTTGGGCCATCTCGGTGCCTTTCTGGGGGACTCGTACGCCGTTCGGGGGCGATCTTTTGGGCTTCTTGGGCCGCCTCGCAGCGCCAGGAAGCCGAAAAGACAAAAATCAATCATCTATCAGAAATCAACGACAATTCAATGGGTTTTTCCTCTTGGGGCCTTCGTGGGAGTGCTCTTGGTGGCCTCTGGGGCGTCTTAGAGGCGTCTGGGGCCGTCTGGAGACGAGCTTGGGCGTCTTGGAACGATCTTTCGACGAATCTAGGCCTTCTTGGGTCCCTCTTGGATTACAAGTGCTCCGAAGAACTCCCAGGAACTCCCCGGAGTTCCCGGTAACTCCAAAGAACAGCTGGGGAGGTGGGGGCGGTCCTGAAAACCCACTCCCGGGAGTTCCCAGGTGTTCCCAAGAACTCCCGGGACCTCCTGGGAATTCGGGGAGCTTTCTTGCCAAGAGCGGCTGGAAAAGTGGGGTTCCGGGTCCTTCAGAACCCCACAGCCCCTCTGCCTCTCAGGTCTCGGGACGCTGGCCTTTCAAGTCTCAGGGGTGCAGGAGTCTTAGGGCACTCCACTACGTGCTGAAGGCACGGTGGCGGACGATACTGGTGTGCAGTTGGTCTTGCTGTCCAGAACGCAAGTATCGGATTTCGGCAATTTACCACGTCTTCAAGTTCTTGGAGGCTTTGAACCATGGTGCAATGTCCAGGGAACGCTGGCCAAGGCTGCTGGGGTTAGCGAAGCATGACCACTCGGTGATCGGGCTTGTTCCTATGTCTTCTGGATGGGAAATAGCGATGCTTGGCCTGATTCACAGATCCGTCCTGGGGAAACGCCAAGCATTTCAAACAGTCAGGCTCGACTCGCAGACGATAGCGAACCAGCCAGATATACATCGTTTGCAGCTGATCGAGTGTTCCGACGGGTGCTGGAACGACTTTGCCTTGCCAAATTCGTGTCATGCAGATTACAACAAAACTCGCTGGTTGGGTTGGTCATAATTATCAACAAACTTACGCCAGCGTCGAGGCTGCGAACACGCTGTCACAATTCAAAGGTGCATTGCGCGAGTTTCTCGCTGATGCTGCGCAGTCGAGTGCTGCCAAGTGGGAGCGCCTCTTCAGTGCGCGCGTGCCTTGGCACTGGCAACCGCTGCAGGCTTGCTGGTGATTTATGTGCGAAGTCAGGAGGAGGAAGAGGAGGAGAAGGAGGAGGAGGAGGAGGATAAGGAGGAGGAGGAGGAGGAGAAGGAGGAATCTGATGACAACGACGAGGACGATCAGCAAGAAGAGGTGCGAACGCCAGCGCGGGCGAGTTCCAGGTCACTCACAGGCCGCAGTGAAAACCGCGCTTCCCGCGTGCTGCCCTTGGCTAACAAAATGGCTCTGGTTGCTTCGAGCCCTCTGGCTGCGCTTGCAACCAGTGTTGCAGTACCTGCGCAGGCCGCTCTCGGTACAGGGCCTGTTTCGATCCAATCCATTTGATCTCAAAGGCGGCTGGCCCGATCGGGTTCGAGTCCGAAATTGCTGCGATCCGATGCGGCCCCATGCTCGCATGGCGTTGCTGCGCATTCTGGCGCAGCCGACCTCGCCCGACTGCGATTCCGTGCCGATGCTGCCCGGCCCGACGCACGCTGCGACTCGGCCCGACTTTCCTATCCGAGGTCGACGGATCCTGCACGTTTCGCCATGAAGGCATGTGGTCCTCGGGGTAGCGGGCCCTGGGACCGGGGGCTCTCTTCCTTCAGCCCAGGCCGCTTTTGGCGGCCACGGGGCCTGTGGGCCCCCCCCCGGGTCCGAAAGCGGCGGGACATTTCCAGGGCCCCTCTAGGGGGCCACATGCGAACCCTACCCCTACCCCCCACGATTTCTGGGGGGGAGGGCGGGGCTCACTCCATTCGGGAGCTCCCGAGCGAAGTGAACCCCACCCTCCCCCTCAGAACTCGTGGGGGGCAGGGGTAGGGCTCGCACGTGGCCCCCATAACCCTCTCCCTCCAGACATCCGGCGCCTCGGTTTTTCGAGGCGCGGGCCCCCCACCTCTCCGACCACGGACCTCCGACCTCTCGACCGCTTCCCTAGGGCCGGCGTCTCGTCCCCGGCCGTTTTTTTGCCGGCCCCGAGGCGCAGTGAGGGCCCCAAAATGCACGACGGAAACACTGAAAGACCTCCGCCTCGATGTTCTGGAGGCGTTGGAGGTCTGGGTCTCCGGACGCGTCTCCACCGCGCGCACTTTCGTGCCTCCTCCTCCTCCTCCTCCTCCTCCCCCTCCTCCTCCTCCTCCTCCTCCTCCTCCTCCTCCTCCTCGTGCGAGAGCGGAGACCTTGGCGCGCCGCGCCCCGCGGCCCCGGGGAACGGAACGGGCGGGCCCTCCCTCGGGGCAGGCAAAACCGCGCGGGGCCCGCGGGGCGGGCCGCGGCTTCGCGCCGCGTGCGGCGCCATTGAAAGGAGGTATATTTGGATTCTCAGATTCAGATCTATTGTTGGCGCCTTCCCACTTCAAGGATCGACTGGCTTCCTTCTTCCCTCCTCATCAAGGGGCGGGCGGAGGCCCAATCTACTTCCGATGCCTTCCTGCTTCATGGCTCCACCCACTTCTTCCGACCGATGGGTATCCTCTTCGAGCCCGGCGCCTGTGGGTTGCAGTCCAGGTTGATTAGTAGGTCTCGAAGAGGAAAGGGCACCGTAAACAAGCTTTTGGAGCTCTGCGCGGATTTCTTGGATCCGCGCTTGGCCCCCCCCCCCCCGGCGGCGCCTCGCCGCCCCTGGCGCGCTCCGCGTATGCCATTCCTTCTTCTTCTTCTTCTTCTTCTTCTTCTTCTTCTTCCAAGGTCGACCCTGCCAAAACACGGGTTGTGCCCAGCGTCTCGCGACCCATGCCTTCTATGTTCCTACGGCGCTGTGGCCCTCGGGAGGGTCCTCTTGCCCCCTCGCGTGCCCTCTGCAACCGACCTCGGCTGCATCGCGGAGCCCGTTTGCCCTGGCCGCGCCGGCGTTCCGAGAGCAGTGGAGGCGGCCCCGGCACCTCTCTCGACGGGTTCCCCTCGATTTCGGTGCCTCGGGCCCGTCACCGGGCCCTGGGGCCACCGAAGATGGGCCTGGGGCGGAGAGTTGCCCCCGGGGTATGGCTCGGGGCCTCCTTCGGGCCGCGCATGGAAGCAACCGTTCAGGAGGGGAAATTACCCCAGTGCGATCCTACCTAGGAGTTGGAGCCCCTAGGAAAGCATCATTAGTAGTAACGGTAAACGCCGTCCTCCTCTTTCTCCTCATCGTCGTAATTGCCTTTGCTTTTGCTTGTTTTTGTTTTTTCTTTGCCTTCGCACACACACACGCATGTTTTTGCATTAGCTCACCGGTTGGGCTCTCTGATCGTACTGTTGCACATTGCCTTTGCTTTGCCTTTCATTTGCTTTGCTTTTGCTTTTGCTTTGCTTTGCTTTGCGTTGCTTGTGCTTTGCTTTACTGTTGCTGCTGTTGCTTTGCCTTTGCCTTTGCTTTGCTGCTATGCTATGCTATGCAATGCTATGCTATGCTGTGCTATGCTATTCTATGCTATGCTGCGCTATGCTGCGCCATGCTATGCTACGCTAGGCTGCGCTATGTTATGCTAGTCTATTGTATACTATGCTATGCTGCACTATGCTATGCTATGCTGTGCTATGCTGCGCTATACTATGCTATGCTATGCTATGCTATGCTATGCTGCGCTATGCTATGCTATGCTGGGCTATGCTAGGATATGCTAAGCTAAACTAAGCTAAGTTAAGCTAAGCTACAGCTAAGCGAAGCTAATCTGAAGCGAAGCTAAGCTAAGCTAAGCTAAACTAAGCTAAGCTAAGCTAAGCTAAGATGAGATACGCAAAGCTAAGGTAAGGGGGCGCAACTGGGGGAACCGCGGGGCGGGGACCGGGGGAACCGCCCGGGGCGGAGCCCACTGCCCGGCCCCTTCAAGCCCAGCGAGTAAGAACCCTCTAGGCAGAGCCTAGGTAGGGAAAAACACACAGACACAATTAATCGTCGACTCCCCAGAAAATATGGGAAAATATGGGAAGTGGTGGGGAAGACAAAAGCCCAGAACATATGGGAATCTATGGGGAATCTTTTTATTAGCGTGTATTCCTTTGTGTGTGTCCCAGGGCCCCTTCGACCGTATCGTCCGCTGTCTGGGTGCACCACCGTGCCCGGCCCGTGCTATCTTGGGCCCAGGGTGTCGTACAGACCCTCCCGGCCTCGGCGGGCGGGGGTACACCATGTCGGGTTCCAGGACCGCCCTGGCCAGGCACTGCTGGCCCAGGCCTCCCGCCTCGGAGGCCCGCGGAGGTCCAGAACGGGGGCTCCGCGACGCCCCCCGAAGCGGCGCCAGTGCAGCCTCGATCCTCGAGCGTCGGGGGCGAAACTTGTCCAGACCTTCCAAATGGGGCCAGAGACGATGGGATCGGAGGATCGGGCAGCATCGCCGATGCATCGGCGATGCGGCGCTATGCCAAGACCTCACCCGCTCCGGACCACGTGAGCGACGCAGAAAAAGGGAGGTGTCTTCGCCGACACTGGCGCGTAAGCTGCCCTCGTAAGGTCGTGCGTAGGCGCGCTCGTTTCCCGTGTGGAGTGCTGTGGCGGCGGTCCGCTTAAGGCACTGCGTGAGGTCGCTGTGCCATCTCGCGTAAGACCCCTTTCTTTCGTTGCTCATGCGGGTTGCCCTGGCCAGGTCCATCTTGGGCCTTGGACTGGTGTGTAGACCTCCAGGCCTAGGCCAGCAGTGCCTGTGCGCCAGTCCAGGACCAAGGATGGGCCTGGCCAGGGCTGGTGGTGGTGTATTGTTTGGAGCTCTCCTACTTCCCGTGGTGCATCCTGCGGCAGAGCTCACCACTCCCTCAGCTCAGGGTCTGACGTGCCCCTCTCTTCGCGCCTGTAGCGCGGAGATCCAAGAGGTCCGCGCGGACGTCCGCGCGGGAAGTTGTGCAGTTCGATGCTGCTCTGTCTGCGAACGCGTTTGATCCTCGAGCGCCGGGTGCGGGCAAGATTTGTATCCATATCCACTGCGTCTTGGAGGATCGGGTCCCCTCTTCCAGAGACCAGATGTGCTTAAACATATGGCCCCCAGAGACCAGATTTTGAACCACACCCTACAGTCAACCCGCATAGTAAGGACGGGTAACCTTCCCAAGGGTACCCTTGAATCCTTGCCTCCTCGGTCCATCCTTGGCCACTTTCATTGGCCACGCCCCGCTCGAGAATCTTCGAAACGGCCTTCCATGGCCCTTGCATCCTTATCGCGCATCCTTACCATACGGGCCGACCGTACTGCGCCTCGACCTTCTGGCGCCCCCTCCCAGAACGTCCAAGGTGCAGCGGACATGGATACATGTCTCAGGCCCAGCATGCATGCCGTGCAGACCCTCCCGGCCTCGGCTAGGAGGGCGTGCGCACTATTCCAGATTCCAGGGCCGCCCCGGCGCGTGCGTGCCCTCTGCGCCGTCCCCAGGCAGGCCCCCCTCGGAGGCCCGCGGGGGTCCAGACAGGGGCCCCAGCCGCCGGGGCAGCGCTCGGGGCACTCCGCGCCTCGCGCCCCTCGCGCCACGGGCGGCGCGGAGGCAGCGCGACGCCCGCGCGAGCAGCGCGCGGGCGCGGCCTCGCCGGCCCGCGCGCGAGGCCGCGCTCCTCGCGCGAGGGCCGCCGCCTCGCGCCGGCGGGCGGAGCGTCAACCTTGGCTTGGAGTCGCTCGGGCGTGTGCATTTTCCGTCGGCGAGGGCCACCGAGGAGCATCTTGCACCATCTTGTGAAGCAAGCGGCTGCCGCGCGAAGCGAGAGAGGTGCACGAGGAATGGGCGTTCGAGCAACGGTGAGCTGGTCATCGCCAGAAGCTCTTCGAGCTTCCTCTCGCTACGGTCGACCCGCACAGCAAGGATGGGCGACTTTCCCAAGGGTGCCCTTGCATCCTGACCTCCTCGGCCCATCCTTGGCCGCTTTCGCTGGCCGCGCCCCGCTCGCAAAGCTTCGAGATGCCTTTCCAAGGTCCTTGCATCCTTACCGCGCATCCTCATTGTGCTGGTTGACTGTGCCTCGTTTCAGGATCACTGCGGCGACCTCCAGAAGAGTTGCAATGCGGAGCTGGCTCGAGCATGGCTCGACTAGCTGCGCCGATTTTGGCCTCTGGCCACGCGCGAGCCCTGGCGGCGAGGAGTGCCGAAGCCCCGCGGCCCCCCCCCCTGCAGGCCGCGGCGGGGGCGGCGGCGGCGGCGGCGGCGGCGGCTGGGGCGGCGGAGGCGCGCTGGCGCCGCCGCCGTCGTCGTCGTCGTCGTCGCCGCCGTCGTCGTCGTCGTCGTCGTCGTCGTCGTCGCCGTCGTCGTCGCCGCCGTCGTCGTCGTCGCCGTCGACGTCGTCGTCGTCGTCGTCGTCGTCGTCGTCGTCGTCGCCGCCGCCGCCGCCGCCGTCGTCGCCGTCGCTGGCGTCGGCGTCGCCGCCGCCGTCGTCGCCGCCGCCGCCGCCGCCGCCGCGTCGTCGTCGTCGTCGTCGTCGTCGTCGTCCGTCGTCGTCGTCGTCGACGTCGTCGTCGACGTCGTCAGCATCGGCGTCGGCGTCGTCGCGTCGGCGTCTTCGTCGCTGTCGCCGCCGTCGTCGCCGTCGTCGTCGCCGTCGCCGTCGCCGTCGCCGTCGCCGTCCGCCGCCGCCGCCGCCGCCGTCGCCGCCGCCGCCGCCGCGTCGTCGTCGTCGTCGTCGTCGTCGTCGTCGTCGTCGTCGTCGTCGTCGTCGTCGGCGTCGGCGTCGGCGCGTCGGCGTCGGCGTCGGCGTCGGCGTCGGTCGGCGTCGGCGTCGGCGTCGGCGTCGGCGTCGGCGTCGCGTCGGCGTCGGTCGTCGTTGTCGGTCGTCAGTCGTCGGTCGTCGGCGGCGTCGGCGTCGGCGTCGGCGTCGGCGTCGGCGTCGGCGTCGTCGTCGTCGTCGTCGCCGTCGTCGTCGTCGTCGTCGTCGCCGTCGGCGTCGGCGTCGGCGTCGGCGTCGGCGTCGGCGTCGTCGTCGTCTTCGATGCCGTCGCCGTCGCCATCGCAGTCGCCGTCGCCGTCGCCGTCGGTGGCGGCGTCGCCGTCGCCGTCGTCGTCGTCGCCGTCGTTGCCGTCGTCGTCGTCGTCGTCGTCGCCGCCGTCGTCGCATCGTCGCCATCGCCGTCGTCGTCGCCGTCGCCCTTGCCGTCGCCGTCGGCGTCGGCCTCGGCGTCGTTGTCGGTGTCGTCTTCTTCTTCGTCGTCGCCGTCGCCGTCGCCGTCGCCATCGGCGTCGGCGTCGGCGTCGGCGTCGGCCGGCGGCCGTCGGTCGTCGGTCGTCGATCGTTGGTCGTCGGTCGTCGGGCGTGGGGCCTCGGTCGTCGTCGTCGTCGTCGTCGTCGTCGTCGTCGTCGTCGTCGTCGTCGTCGTTATCGGCGTCGGGCGTCGGCGTCGGCGTCGTTGCTGTGGTGGTCGTCGTCGGTCGATCCGTCCGCCGCCGCCGCCGCCGCCCTGCCCCTCGGCCTCCACCTCCGCTTCCTCTTCCTCTTTACGTTACACCGACGTTGATCGAATCGATCGCCGCGTCTGCACCTCCTTCTCGTCCTCCTCACCGACCCTGGGAGAAGGGAGGGAGGTGAGGAGGAGGAGGAGGAGGAGGACGAGGAGGAGAGGAGGAGGAGGAGGAGGAGGAGGGGGCGGAGGAGAAGGAGGACGAGGAGGAGGAGGAGGAGGAGGAGGAGGAGGAGGAGGAGGAGGATGTGGGAGGGGGAGGAGGAAGAGGAGGAGGAGGAGGACGAGGAGGAGGAGGAGGAGGAGGAGAGGAGGAGGCGGAGGGAGGAGGAGGAGGCAGGAGGAGGAGGAGGAGGAGGAGGAGGAGGAGGAGGAGGAGGAGGAGCAGGAGGCGGAGGAGGAGGAGGAGGCGGAGGAGGAGGAGGAGAAAGCGGAGGAGGAGAAGGAGGAGGAGGAGGAGGAGGAGGAGGAGGAGGAGGAGGCGGTGTCGTCACGGCCCTGCATACATAACACACGCGGAGACCATATTAAGATTGGCCAGCCGCCGCTGTTCGCTGCCGACGAGGCGTCCCATAAGCGCTTATTCATTCATTCATTCATCGCCCGTGCCTCGCGACCGCAGTACGTGCCAGCAGTGCTCAAGACCCCTGCCATTTGACCGTGGCACCCGGCCGCGACCCTGATGCGAAGGCGGTAATTACAATGCAGCCGAACCTGGAGAGGCCCCAGTTTTCCGAGACTGATACCCCTCTGCCCCCTCGCTCCCAACGTACCATGCACCCTTCAAAGAAGCCCTCCCGTCGACGCGCGCACCGTGACGGCAGGCGACCCGCCGTGACACATCGGGCTCAAGGCTACCACCTCAGGACCAGAAACCAGCCTCCGAGGGGACGCAACGCCGAAGGCCCGCTCGTCTCCCGCACGATGAGGCCACCCTGGGGCCCGAAAAATCCCTGGGGCACAGCTATGCGACGCGAAGCGTGCACAGTGCAGTCCGCTTGCCACTGGCCGTGGCTCGCGTGGGGCTCTCCCACCCCAGGGCACAGCCAAGCAACGGCAACAGCGGAACGGTCGAGGGGAGTATGGCGCGATCCCTCCGATGGGGGCCTTACCCGCGCAGGTCTCGTTCGGCCTGGCCAGAGAGGCCGATCTGTCCGACGACACCACACGACCAAAAAATCAGCCCCCAGCGCAGACCACCCCGCGCTGCCCCTGACCTGGCTGGACGGCTTGGACACTGGAGTAGTCAACTGAGCTTTTGCTCCACCTCACACCTTCCATCCCGACTCCACTTGCACTCCTGTCCGTCCTGGTGGTGTATGGACGCGCTGGGCTGGGGGCCAGCCCGTCCCGATGCCCTGGCCCCAGGAGCCGCTGAAGGGCTCCAATAAGCCCACTGATGTAGCATTACAGCGCGCACGCACGCACGTCACCGTCAACTCATGCGACGATCCGGCAACCACCCCCACCCATGAACATAGACTCGATCCATTCGTTTTCCCCTGCTTGGTGGAGCCCCCGCGGCCAGCGCTGAAGCCGACACCGAAGCCCCGGCACAGTACGAAGCACAGGGGCGTGTGTCGCAGAATGTTCCCGCGGTCAGCTTCGAAGTGGCAATGCGCACGAGAGCCGTGGTGCCTAGTTTCAATGCTGAGACCAAGCGCACGCGCAGCCGCCAGGAACCACGTTTCCCCCGTGCCCTCCTAGTTTTATCTCTTGCCCCTCGTCCTGCCTGGTGATGAGTGGCGCCAGCGTCGCGGCCCGGCCGAAAGAGTGCAGGCAAGGGACAGCTGCATGGACTTGCGGGCTGAAAGCTCCCACGGCCACAGCACCGAAGGCGGGCAGCGGCAGACGTTTCCGTCGGTGCTTAAAGGCGTGTCTAGCGGCCAGCATCACCAGCTACCTTGCGTGGAGCAGATCGAGCGAGGAGGCAGGCAGTGTCAGCCTAAAGTGTCAGTGCGATCAGGTAGGTCGTGGCAGCCGCTGTTGCTAGTGCCAGAAGGTAAACCAGGAGCTCAGCATTACCACCTACTCTGCGGGGATCAGCTCGTGCAAGAAAGGCTGCAGTGGCAGCAGATACTGTCGGTGTGAGAAGGCAGGCCGTGGCAGCCAGTGTTGCCTGGACCCGAAGGCAGAGCAGGTGCTAAACCTCGCCAGCTACACGGATATGGCCAGCGTGTGTGAGAGGGCAGGTTGTGGCAGCCTGTCCTGTTGGTGCGCTGAGGAGCGCAGACGCAAGAGCCGCCCGTGCATCAAGGTGGAAAAGAGCCTAGCGATGGAAGCAGGCTCTGGCAGGTCGACAAAAGCAAGCAGTTGTGGCGAGCGTTGGCGCAGCCGAATGGCGAAGCATGGACACCACACCCTCAGGGAATATGCAGGGATCAGATCGTGCGAGAAAGCAGGCAGTGGTTGCAGGGTCGAGGCAGTAGCAGCAAGTGCAGTCACACCCGAAGGAGGCGCAGGAGCGTAGCACCATCAACTATGTTCCCCAAGCAGAGCTTGCCTCTGTAGGGGTCCTAGCGGATTCATATGGTTCGGTGAGCTGGGTCGCTGATTTCGTTGGCCGGCCCGGGTGCCCGGGTGCCCCGGGGTGCCCGGAGGCGCCCAAGGGTGCCCGGAGGTGCACGGGGGTGCCCAGGTGCCTGGGTGCCAGGGTGCTTTATCGCCCTATAGCCTTATAGCGCTATAGCTCTATAGCCCTATATCCATATAGCCCAATAGCCCAATAGCCCTATAGCCCTATAGCCCTATAGCCCTATAGCCTTACAGCCCTATAGCCCTATAGCCCTATAGCCCTATAGCCCTATAGCCCTATAGCCCAAAATCCCTATAGCCCTGTAGCCCTACGGCCCCATAACTCTTTAGCCCTTTAGCCCTTTAGCCCTTTAGCCCTAAAGCCCTATAGCTCTATAGCTCTATAACCCAATAGCCCAATAGCCCTATAGCCCATATAGCCCTATAGCCCTATAGCCCTGTAGCCTTATGGCCCTATAGTCCTATAGTCCTATAGCCTTCTAGCCCGATAGCCCTATAGCCCTATAGCCTGATAGCCCGATAGCCCTATAGCCCTATAGCCTAGCAAACATTCGGATTAGGGTTATTCTCTGGTATCATGATCGTCTTCTTTTTAATTGTTTTGTCGATCAGCGCGGGCCCTCGCCGCCCCCGCCCCTCACCCTCCCCTTGGAGTAGATTGGCGCCTGTTTCGAGCAGGTGTATTCTCCCCCTACAGGACGCACTGTTGCAAACAGTCGCATTAAGCAGAGGTCTGGAGCCAGACCCCCCCTCCCTCCCCCTTCCGCCCAATGTCGAAACGCCGAATAAGAAGACGATCACTATAACATCGGAGTCAGCTCGTCCGAGATAGCAGGACGTTGCAGCAAGCGTTGTCGGTGCCCGAACGCGAAGCAATATCGTACAAAATCAGCTACAGTGCTGGGGTCGGATTTTGTTCGTGTTGTCGCAAAGCCATGTTGCCCAGGGACGTCCTGGGGGTAGGTGCAGCGCCGTTCCTCGAGCTGTGGTCGGTTCGCTAGCCCCTGGCTCGTCTCATTACGATTTTCATACAACATGCTCCTCCTCCTCTTCTACCCCGTTTCTTAACTCTTTCCTCTTTCTCTTCGTCGTCATCGTCGTCGTCGTTTTCCTCCTCCCTCTATCTCTCCATGCCCCTCTACTCCTTCCTGCCGTTTGTTGCCCCCCTCCACTGTAGTTCCGCTCCTCCATTCCATCCCCACCATCGGCCTTCTGCGCTTCTCCCTCCTCTGCCTCCTCCTTGCCCTGTGCCCTCCGCCCT